GGCCGCAGCTCAACTTTGGCACTGTACACAATACGGTGTTCAAACCGTTATCTCTCCAGTGAAAGGTGCGAGAGGATAGAAGAACTTTCTCCTATTTGATAGGGAAGGGAACGTTTTCAACACCCAGCTCATTAGATGTTCGCCCATCATAAATTTCTCACATGTTAAGATAGAAATTTTGGAGAATTTTTACGACACAATAAAATGTCGTAGAAACAACACGCAGACGCCATTGCCACCTGACCTCGCCGTAGTTAGAAAGGCAAACACCACACAGCTGATAAGACAAGAAGTGCGATAAGACAGAATGTTTTTTGACAACAGAACTTTCTTCAACACCAGAAGACCGACATAGGTGTGCGACTGTGAAAAATGGCACGAAAACAGCTACACCCTTACGAGAATCAAAATTTGGAATTTTCAATCCTTTTGATAATTCTGAATGCTTTCTCATCCGACGAAACATAGCAATGCAAGCAAATTAGCCAGTGTTGGCTATGGGACTGTTTTGTTGGCGTTCAGCGAGAAGATCAATAGCAGGCCGAAAAAAGTTCAATGGTTTGCCATGCATTGGTTTTGCAAAATTTTGCCTACCCTTTGTGGGATTTCTTGAAGTGGCTTTCTAAGACAAACTTTCACCGCATGAACATAGTTGTGGTGTGAGATCGTACCCGAGTTCAACGGCGTGTGGGCGTGTCATCGCGCTTTTCCTCCTCACTCTCTGACACGCCCCTCCTCACGGTCAGTGCGACAATCAGAGAGCGTCAAGTTCACGGGTAACTTTTAGGAAATCCCGATTTCATCTTTTCTGTCATTGCTGCTTGCTCTCTTCGACAATTCCTTTCCTGTGGTGATTCCTGTCGTGATTATAGAGATAATCATGTAACCACAAGAATGATGAGTTGTGGGCAAAATTTCGCCTTAGTCGGGATTCGCACCTGGATCTCTTGCTTTCCAGCCATTGGTGTAGCAACTGATGGCTTTTTCCGACGCAGATCCGACGGGAAACTGCAGTCATCCGATAGAAACAGGTCAAATATAACAAACCAGGTGTACTTCATGATTCTGTCCCGAGGTTTGTAAGCCGTAATGAAGTTCCCACCTGCAAACCTCGTGGCAGAAGCATGAAGAACGAACCATACTGAGGTTTCAAGATGAGAGACCTCGGCGTAACCATGTGTTTAGTCCTTATTATCGGCATGAACAAGCGAATATTTTTCCTGCCATTATAGCCAACTGGATTGCATTCAGGAGATTTATGAATGGTTTGAATCCTCCACAAATCTTTCCATTGAATCTGTCTGCCCATCCATGCGAAAATGTTCCCCTTCTGCAATGAAGTTTTTACTATTCAGTGCAGAAGGGGAACTAGGTTCCTCATTTGGCCCGTATACCTTTCGATTGTTTTCTTGCTGCACAGATTCCGAGTGAAAGAATCTTCATAAGATGTTATTGCGGCATATACGTGTTTTTGCTAGTTTGCTGATGTTTTCTTCACCTTCAAATCGTGTTCTGCTTTCGAACTTTTGGAGGCTTCGTTGCGCACATGCACTTCTCTTTGTTTGCTGTTCATGATACGGGTGTTTTGATGTAATAGAAGCCGCAGACCCAGCCACACCTTTTTATGACGGTTGCTCATACAATCAACTTCCGTGAACAGTTCACCACCAGCAACCCGTCTGTCTTTCACGAAAACTCTTAACAAACCCGAACCACTGCATAAAGTTGCCGTTTAGTAGAATACATCCAATTACGTTCATATCTTT